GGCTGGCCAAATAGCTCAATGGATGAAAGCGCCTGCAAGCAGGTGCAGGGCCTAGGGGTTCCATCCCTGGGCCTGCCATGCTTCCCGCCCCCCCCCCCCGGGGGTACACTGAGACTACAATTGAGACTGGGTGTGGTGGCACACACTTGTAATCCAAACTTTTGGGAGGCTGTAAACAGGTGGATCACTACGAGTCTGATCTAGTAGTGAGACCCTAAACACCCTGTAGACCCTTCCCTAAAATTAAAAAAAAAAAAGAGTATTTGAGGATATTTTGTCCCTACATGCTCAATAACAGTGTCGCAAGTTTTAAACTTTTGCATAGTAAAAAGTGAGGCTTAGGATGGGGGCAGTCAATATACTTAGCAGTATATTGTGAATATATTCCCATAATGTGACTTATAGTGTGCCATTGTCTTGACTATACCTCATAATTTTCTAGATTTTAGGTGCTATTTTGAGCTAGTGGCAATTTTTTTTTAGGTGTTAGATACTAATTTGGAGTTGGTAGTAGTTTTCAAATACATTGAAGGCCTTGTTCAGGGCTATAAAAAAATTACAAATTCTTGCCAGGGGTATAGCTCAGTTAAATTCCAGGTATTGGGAAACAAAACAAAACAAAAAAACTACAATCTTGGGTCTGGTGAGATGGCTCAGTGGTCTAAAGCACCTACTTAGAACAAACTAAAAGCACAGGGACCGCAGTTCAATCCCCAGCACCACATGCCAGCCAGCCCCGCCCCCTGGTGGGCTGAGCTGGCCACACACACACACACATAAACAAATAAATATTAAATAAATAAATAAATAAAAGAGTTTAAAAAAAAAACTACAATCTTAAATTTTGAAAAGGAATTTTTTATGATTTATTTATTTATTTATTTATGTACTTTAGGGAAGAGTCTAGAGGGTATTTAGGGTCTCACTACTAGATTGACTCATAGTGATTCTCCTGTTTACAACCTCCCAAGGGCTGGAATTATAGGTGCACACCACCACACCCAATCTCAATCACTGTCTCAGCATGCCCTTGGGGCGGGACCCGTACAGCAGGCCCAAGGATAGAACCCCTGGCCCCACACCTGCTTGCAGGCACTTTAATCTCTGAGCTATTTGGCTGGCCATGAAAAGGAATATTATTACATTAAGCAAATAAAATAGATAAGGAAGTTTTTTGGGAGGGCAAGTTCTTTATGTCTTGAGTTTTTGAGAGAGTGTGTCATTTTGTAGTGTAGGTTGGCTTTGAACTGACTGTGTGGTCCAGGATGGCTGCAAACTCACAGTAGACCTCCTGCCTCAGCCTCCTGAGTGCTAGACCACCACTCCTGACTTAGCTCTTTTATCTATTTTTGAATAATTTCAACAGCATTATACTTGAGTATTCTATCATTAATGTAACAAACTAGACCTACTTTTAATTTCTCAATAGTATAGACAGTAATCCTGCTCATCTTCCCAAGGGTAGAATATTTTTTCTGCAGAATGACTATATTGTTCTTCATCTCCTATTTTATTTTATGAATGAAACTGTAAGTCCCTCACCTTCTTGGAAACTTTGTACTTCCCCTTGTTAACAGTGAGCCAAAAGAGATAGTTGAAAAGTCTAAAACCCCAAGCCGAAGAAACTCCCGAACTGAAGAGCCTACTGTAGCTTCTGAAAATTTGGAAAATGGACATCGTAAGCGATCCTCTCGGCCTGCTTCAGCCTCCAGCTCTACTAAAGGTTAGCAATGTGATATGGGTGTTTTTCATGGGTTACATAGAAGCAACAGTAGGGCTTTAATCCCAGCAACAGGGGAATGTTTTCCTCTATCATTTTTCCATTCTTAAATTTGTCAAGTTACTTAGACTTCTACTATTTGGTCTTTCCTTTATTGTTTTAATTATGTTTTCTGGGTGTGTACACAGAGTACAAGCACTGCCAGGGGTGAAAAGAATGATACTGGTTGATCTTTCCTTTTTTCCTCAGATAGTTTGTGATTATATAGCCCAGCCATTTTTGTTTAGGGACTTTAACTATAGCACAGCACAAACTTCATTACTCCAAAACAATGGACTGGCTCCCAAAGGAATCCAAAGGCTACTTTTCTGATATAGTTTACTCAGTAGCTTATGAAATCACTCACTGATGTACCAAAAGCACTGTCAGCTCATCCACATTTTTTTTTTTTTTAATACTAGGGATTTGGGCCAGCCAAATAACTCAGCGGATTAATGCACCTGCAAGCAGGTGCAGGGGCCAGGGGATTTGATCTCTGGGCCTACCATGCCAGTCCCACACTGCTGAGGCCTGCTGAGATGGGAATTGAGACTGGGTGTGGTGGTGTACGCCTGTAATCCTAGCTCTTGGGAGGCTGTAAACAGGCAGATCACTACAAGTCTGATCTAATAGTGAGACCCTGAACACCCTGTAGACCCTTCCCTAAAATTTCAAAAAAAAAAAAATACTGGAGATTGATCTCAGGGCCTTCATGCTAAGCTACAGCCTCAGACTTTTTTGAGACAGGATCCCACTAAATTGTTCATGCTATACTCAAACTTGCAGTGTTTTGCCACAGCCTCCCAGAGCACTAGGAGTACAGGCATGTACCACTATACCCAGTTTATCCATACTTTATTGAGTGATGGAAACCACTGAAGGGGATTGTGGGCTTAATTATATCTCATTAAAAAGACACTCCTCGGGGCTGGGGAGATGGCTCAGTGGAATAAGTGCTTCACTTATTCCACTGAGTTCAATTCTGAGTTCAATTCCCAGTTCCGCAAAAAAAAAAAAAAAAAAAGACTGTCCTCCCCACCCTGGCACTTTTTCTAGTCTGGTGTGTATTTCATCTTCTACCTGCTGTATCACATTTCCCCAGCTGTTAAACCCTCATTTAAAGGCTACACTGTATGCCCCTTAAATCAGTGGACAAAGTGTAGGACCCCACAGTGAGGGTCCCGTAGTCTGACCCAGTCCCTGAAAGGGCCTTGGTTGGTGTAGACTGCCTCAAGGTTCGCTCAGCTGAACATGTCCTTCCTCCCCCACAGATATAACCAGTGCTGTGCAATCCAAGCGAAGAAAATCCAAGTAAACAAGATGGAAAATTATTTGATACTTGTAAATGTGTGTGAATTTTACAAAGAGCAATTTTGAGCTGTGACTTTTTAAAATCTATTTCTGTACAGTCATTTTAATAATGTGGCCCTTTTCCTAGTCCCTGCAACCTATTTTGTAAAGTGCAATGGGGAAAGCAGGGTTGTTGAGCCCTTTTGGTATTGCAGGATGAAGTTCAAGGTTTCGAAAATGTTGCCATGTATTGAGAGGAGCTAATGCCATTATAAATGTTACTAGTTTTCAAATTTCCTAAGCAGCCTAGAGTACAGGGTGAACATTTTTAGATCTTCTAATGAGGTATTGTGCTGTGGAAGTACTGTGTGTGAATAGCAGTAGCAGGGGCAAAAGCAATCTTGTCATTTGAAAATGTTGTAAATAATTTTATTATATAGTGTTTTGGATGTATTTGTTGTAGAAATGGACCAGTGAATAAAGAGAATCTAAGGGTTTGTATAATGTGAAATATTGAATGTGTTAAATAAATGTTATTGTCATAGAACATAAAGGTATGTTATTGGTAAAGGACTACTAGGTGAGCAAATAAGAATTGAGTGGACACAGCCTTGTGAACTAGAAACATTGAGCACCTGAAATGCCTCCTGCCAAATTGAAGAAAATGCATATTCTTGCTCACTCAGCTATTGGCTTTGAAGAAAATAGCCTGTTCATCCCATTGTATATATGGATCAAAAAAATGGGACACACACCTGTAATCCCAGCACTTGGGAGATTAAGGCAGGAAGATCTCTGCAAGTTCTAGGCCACCCTGGGATGCATAGTGACACCCACTATAGTCATACACACAGTACCTTCTAGGGCTATTCTGGCAAAGGATAGTGACACCCACTATTCAAAGTCCAACCTAAGCTGTCTTTAAAAAAAGAACAAAAACAAAACTGGTTGCACATAACACAACGAACAGGATAAGTTACTTAGAATTTTCTAGAAACAAAACTCTCAGCCTAGATGGCATTTTTTTCTCTACCTGATGTATATCTCTTCAACTGTGTTTACATTTCCTCCATTCAGGGGATATACCAAGACTGAGCAGGATTGTTCCAGTGTGAAAAATTTAACCCAGTTTAGGTCAGGTTTTCAGTTTTAGTCAAGTTCTGTAGTTAGACTGTAAACTCCCAGGTTAATGTCCACAATATCCCACTCTTTGTTTCTCATCTGTATCAGCCCTGAGAGTGATTTCTTACCAGCATGCTCAGGTTTTTCCTTCCTGAATCAGTTCTTCAGATTTTTCAGTCTTTAAGGGGGGCGGGGGTGAGATACTGAAAATTGAACTCAGGACCTTGTGCTTTTTTATAGCTTTTAAAGCTAGGTGTTTCTGTACCCACCCTACCCTCAGCTTTCAGATAACTCCAGAATTTGGGCACAAACTGGGTATGGTAGTACATGCCTATAAGCCATGCTTGGGAAGCTGAGGCAGGAAGATTAGCATGAGTTCAAAGCCAGCCTGGTCTACACACCAAGTTCAAGGCCAGCCTATACTACAGAGCAAGACTCTGACCCCCCCCAAAAAAAATAATAATTTGAGGCACTGTCCTCATCTCTGGTCCTAAGTCTTCCACTTTGTCTTGTAGGCCTGGAATTAAATTTTAGTCCTTCCCATGTAGTGGCTCCTTTTATCACCAGAACCCAGTGCCTGAGACCAAAACAAGTCAGTGACTCTGTCATGTTCTTATTTTCATTTTCATCTAGATTTCACATGTCGTATGTATCTTACATTATAAGAATCCACTGAAAATACTGAGTCAGGCCCCACCCTGTTCCCAACAAGTTTACCTTCTGTGATGTACACCAGAATCAAATCTAGCTTAACAATACTACTATCTCAGCAGTGGCTTAAGATTAGATTGCTTCTTATAGTTTAGCTCAACTCAGGGACAAAACATAATGTGCTTTAAATAGATTTTTATTTGTTTATATTAATTTTTTCTCCAATAAAGGAATAACATTACAATCTAATCAGAATCCTGTTACATACATACACAGGCATGCCACATGACCAGGTCGAGGTGATCGTGTCCTTGAGTCTGTCAACCATCACAACATGGTCAACCAAAAGTCTCTTCATTTAAGCCACTCTCAACACAAAACCCCCATAGGGATACACTCAACTTGTTGGTTCTATTTGGAACTAGGTGGCAGGGGAGGAAGGGTAGGTATTAGAAGTGGGCTATGGTGTGTCTGCATTCAGTCCACTCACACAAAGCTACATGAATATGGGGAAGGCGTCCAAGAGCTCTGGTGGGTTCCTTGTTGCACCTAAGATATGGGTCACAGCAAGTTGATCTTAGGGTTCCAGGCAGGGGGCTGGGGAGCAGGCATATTCCAAAACAGCACCAGACTACAGTCATACACACAGTACCCTTTAGGGATATTCTGGCAAAGGTTAGTGACACCCAGCTCGAGGGAACCACTCAACTTACTAGGAGAAACTGGAAGTCACTAATTGATATAATAGAAACAGGTCTAACATCCTTAGTTTTGGCAAAGTGCTGGTAGTAATGACATTAATACTCAAAAACTGGTATAGACTTCAGGGTCTCTGAAAACATCAGTCAAGACAGACTCTCGCCCCCTCCTGTCTAAAGTTGCATAGGACTTTGTGAATTCTGGTTCCCTCATTTATTCAAGTTCTGTGGTTTAAAAAAAATCCTGAAGCATGCTCAAGGTGAAAGGCACATACACAGTCAATACAGAGTGACAAGGTCTGATGCTTCAGGAGTCAGACTAGCAGGAGACTGAGTAGTGTTGGTTCTTAGAAATCTATACACAAAATATTGCCACACTCAAATGCTACAGAGTTTATAGGAAAGTACAAAAAATATGAGCCTTGCAATCAGCCAAGTGATTTGGGGAGTTCTAGAACTATAAGGAACCTCCAGAAACAGGTAAGGCGCAGAACCGTTAGAAATTTGAGCCAAAATGCCCTGTCACTTCTCCTACCAACAGGATCATGGGCACTGCCCAGGACTAGCATGGCCCTGGCTGGTAGTGAGAAGTAGCAAGAAGGGTTGGGTTCATTCTAGCTGTTGTGCTAAAGGCTCTAAGCTGGCTGTGATGTAATCAAGGAGTTGCTGGAAAAATAAATGTAGGTTATAACTAGAGAACTTAGGGAGAAAAGCGAGGTTGTCAGTTACTAGGGTCTAGTAAACTAGCATGGGAAATTTTGTTTATAGTGTCTGTTTTGGCTGATTCCTTGGGATAGGAAGCCACAAAAGGGCTGCTTTTGCCCTTAACCCTGAATCTATGGAGATTCTACTCCCCTACAAGTACCATGTGAGGCCAGGGACTATAGAATCAGGGAGGGCAGCTACCTTTACCCTAATAGAAGAGCAATTTTCCAACCCCAGTGTGACTGTGAGGCCTGGAAATCTGAAATTGGTGAAAGGGAAGACCTATTAGTATGTCACAAGAAATCCTAAAAATTTCAAGGAAGAAAGCACACACTAGAAAAAGACAGCTAGAAAGAGAATGGGAAGCAATTCAGGGCATCCCAAGAGGCTGTTGCTGGTGTCTGAGCCCAAAATTCAATCCCACCGCAAGAAGGGAAAAGTTAGCCTTCCCTATCCCTAGTTGCTCACCCAAGGATTCAGATTCCTTGCTTTAGATACTTATCAAAGAAAAAAGGGAGGGGATCATAGGCACCCATTTCTCCCCAGAAGCTTAGAAAAGAGGAGCCCTATGAGAGAAAATGAGACCTTTGAAGGTCGTGAATCTTGATAGGGTTATTTGGGGAACAGAACAGTGGGCTCCTGGCCTCCTACCCAGGAGTATTTGTTAGCCATACTAAGGATGTGAAAGATAAGACCAGAGGCAAGCTGAAGGCTGAGCTGTCTTTATATGGCTTCACACCACAGCTTATCCTCTTCAGCACCATTCTGTTGCATTCTTTCTTTGGGGTGTGTGCCCTTTTCCTACCTCAAAAGTTCTCTGGCCTGTTCTCTCCTAGCCTAGTTCTAGCACCTTGGGCATGTGAACTCATGGTCTGGATGGAGGAACCTTTCCCAGCTTTTACTCCTGGAGTGGCATGTCAAGGTAGGGTGGCAAAGTACTAAAGCCCTTCAGACTTGGGAGCCTGCAGAAGGATAGGTAATTTGAGGAAAAGACATGGGGAGTAAGTAGGACTACAGGAGAGGGAAGAGGGGGCAGACTCCAGGCTCCAGCCTGGGAGCAGGGCTTGCCTCTCTGAGTAAGCACAGTGCCAACTCCCATAATGCCCTGCTCCCTAGTTTCCCAATCCATCCTGTCTACATCTCCAGTGGACTGCCTCATTCTCTTGACTCCCTCCACCTTCTCCTTTGAACTCACATCTCACTGTCCTCTTTCACATACTTTACCTTTCCAGGCCTAAAAGCAGCCTCCAAAGGAGCCCAGCCCCCTAGGCAGAGAGAAGGAAGAAATTAAAAGTAAAACTCTGAGCCAGACCTCTGAAGGGCAAGGAGAGTGACATGGGTTACACAGGTTTTCCCTGGTCAAGGTGGGCTCAGGGTTCCCCTCCCTTTATCCATGTGGGAGGAAACTACTGGGAACAAACAATAAAGGGACAGGAGTGTAATGCCAAACACAGGAAAGAATTAGTCCTGGAAGATGCACGTTGAAGGTGAGCAATGAGCCAGGTCAGGGTGAAAGAGGCTCTCAGAAATGGAGATGTGGGCCAAGAGGGCAAAGATGAGAGAAACCTGGATGCAGGCCAGAGAAGGAAGCATGGAGTATCAACAATGGAAAGGATATAGAGGATTAACGTTGAGTGTGGGAGGATGAGAGAGCCTGAAGGTGGCAGAGGTGGATTTAGATGATCAAAGATGGAGAAATCGAGAGAGGTGAGGAAGGACCTTAAGTCCACCTCATACTCTTAAGATGAGGGAAGGTGTGGTATCCAGCCCCAGGTGGCTAGCGGCCCCTTGAACAGCACACTGGCCGCTGCACAGGGGACAGACGGAAATTGAGAGACGATGAAAGTTGGTTGTGCAGCCGTCCGACACTCAATAGTTGAACTGGCGCTGGCACGGCTGATAGACGAAGCTGCCCTGGTGCTTGGGCCGACGTGGACGGCTCTCGCGGGCGCGGTTCTGCCGCTGTACCACCTTAGCGCTCAGCGCGTGGCGCTCGGCTCGCTGTCGGGCCCGCTGCAGCCGCCGCGTCTGGCCTGCCTTCTCCAGCAGCACTGCTCGAGCCGGCAGCGGGGCGGCGTGGTGCAGGGCCCGAGGCTCGCGGCGGGCGGGTGCTACTTCCCTGTAAGGATGGGAAAGGGGTGTCCGTTAGGAAGGGGCAGACTGTGGGGACACTGGGATCTCCCGACCTTACCTTGGCTCAGTGCCATCTCTACTGAATAGGGCGCCTGAGGCCCTTCTGGTGGGCACCAACCCTTGCCCCAAGCCAACTTCAAGATATACCTCCTAGATTCCAGCCCCCGGGGCAAGTAAACCATTCCGGGGTGCAGCTGGGCCCCACCCCTCATTCTACATCAGCAGCCCTTCCCCCTTTCTTGTTCCAGACCAAGCCTCTCTACCACCAGCTCCTGCCCCGCCCCAGCCATGAGACCACGCCTCCCTTCCCACAGCCCAGACCGTAGGCCCCGCCCCCCGAAGCCGCACGGGGCTCTCCCGGCTGTGTTCCCACGGCCTCCCGACCTGGACCCGAGCCTTCAGGTTCCGCCCTCGGCCTGCTCACCCGTCACTGAGTTCGACTTCAGGCAGGGCAGTGTCTGGGTGCGGGGAAGGCGGTACAGGCTCTAGCACTATGGTGCTGCCGGTGACGTAGACAGACATACTGGGATGCTCGATGAGGAGGTCCTCCAGGGGGCTGCTCTGGAGGCGGGCAGGCCCGACGCCGGGCCCCTCTGCGGTAAAACAGGCGGGAGGGGTAACAAACCAGCTCTCGTCCATCAAGGAGGGCGCGGGCGGAGGGCGGCCTGCGGGGGCAGGGGCGGCCCCAGGGCTGGGGGGAGCTGCGTAGCTGTCTACGCGGCGTGGGAGAGGGAGCCAGGCGGGAGCGGAGGAGCACACACACATACACACATACACAAACACACACACCCACACACACACACCGGACACAGAGGGCAGGGAGAGAAAGGGCATCGTTAGTTAGTCCCGCAGCCCTGCCTGCCTTGCCCACGGAGCACCCCCAGGCCATCTCTCCTTGGTGACCCTAGATCCAGGACCTGAGGTGTGGGCCCCAACACCTATTGCCAGTAGATGGCCTAGGACTGCAGAGGAAAGGCTGTTACCCCACCCCCGGGGGTCACAGCTGCAGCCCCAGTTTGCCTGGTAAGTTTGGGAAAATTCCCCAATCCCTAGCAGCTCCCTTCCACTCCACTTCTGGGCCATCTGTCTTTATGGTGACTCCGAAGGCCTAGGTGGCAGAGTCCAGCCCCGATTCAGGCCTCACCCGGCAGGTCAATGATGAGCCAGCCATCAACTTCATCCTCCTCGGAGACAAAGGCGCGGGGGCAATCGGGGTCTTCAGCGGGCGAAGGGGTGCTGAAGAAGAGGCTGGTGAGGCGCTGGAACATGGTGGGGCAGGGAAGTGGCCTCACGGGGGCGCCCTAAGGCAGTGCAAAAACGTGGGAATCAGAGAAGAGTCAGAGCCACTAGCAAGTCTGCTCTTAGACTGGGACAGGGCAGGCAACATCACCCTTACCCCTGTAACAGTGCTAAGTGTACAGTTGCAATGTGCGGGAAAACTTTTGCAGTGAGTCCTCTGCATTCACATTCAAGCTTTTCTGTCCTTTGTATGAATTTATAAGCCAATTTCCTGTGTCTTAGTTTTCTCATCTGCCAAATGACAATAACAGTACAGTTCTCTGAGGCTTTATCAGAATTAAATGAGCTAGGGCTGGGGAGATAGCTCGGTAGAATAAACGCTTGCCTGGCAAGCACAAGGATCTGAGTTCAATCCCCGGTTCCGCAAAAAAAAAAAAAAAAAAAAAAAAAAGAATTAAATGAGCTAGGCCCAGGGATATTACCCAATCAGTGATAGAGTAGGTGCTTCAAACCACGCACAGACACACACACACACACAAATTAAATGAGATTATATTTGTATATTCTCCTTTAGACTCTACACTAAGAACTAAATGGGCTAAACACTTATAAATTGTTTAGACTAGTCCCTGGGCACAAAGCAAGTACTAAATAAACTTAATAAACTAGTTATTACAAGGTACTCTCTTTAGAGACACAGAAGGAAGGCCTTCTTGTCAGGGTAGGTCTCCAGAGGATCCAAAATCCAAGCTGGACCTTGAGGAGTTCTCTAGGCATGGAACAAATTTCCCATACTATGATTATTTATTATCATCATAATAAAATAATACCCAAGGGCCATCCCATCCTTAAATACAGAGTGGGCATGATTACTGTCTCTTTTACAGGTGAAGAAAATGAAAAGGTAAGGCTCAGAGAGGTAAGATAACTTGTCCAAAGTCTCAAAGCTAAAAATGGTAGATGTGGGATTTATTTATTTTTATTTTTATTTATTTGTGTGTGTGTGTGTGTGTGTGTGTGTGTGTGGTACCAGAGATTGAACTCCGGACCTTGTGCTTGCCAGGCAAGCACTTATTCTACTGAGCTATCTCCTCGGATGTGGGATTTGAACCAATGCAGTCAGATTCCAGAGGCACCACCCATAATTACTATGGTTCACTTCCTTTGGTGGGTGACTGGCTGGAATAGGGAGCTTTAACTTGGTGACCATGACAGACCACAAGCCTTGTGTATTTTTCTGTGAAGAAGGACCTTGTTTTTCTTTTTCTTTCTTTCTTTTTTTAAAGGATCTTGTTTTTCATCATGATTTCATAAATAGTGGTTTTTCACCCCAGATACTAAGAAAGGAACCCATGTGGTTTAAAAACCACTGGCTAGTGGAAACCCTGCAGAACTGCTACAACTAACGATGTGACTGAGCAGCCCTCAAGTGTGTCTGCCATATGAGGAATGAATATTCTGTCCCCACAGGCTCTCTCTACCCTCACCTCCTTTTCCCAGGCTCCTGCTCAAGGACAGCATCTCTGAATAGAAGGAAGATCAGGTTGCCTGGTACCAATTAAACAGGTTAGTGGGAGGTAATGATGGAGAGAGTTGTCAGATCCCAGGAGCCCTTAAGGGACAACATTGAGGGTTGGGCCCTCAGGACCCCAGCATTCAGCAAGTCCTTCCCTAGGTGAAAATAAGGAAGGAGGCTCCCTGCTCCAGGAATGGAGACACTTAGATTGTGACTACAGATCTATTCCCAGGCCACTTTACAATCTGAGACAGAGAGAGAGAGAAAGAGAGAGAGAGAGAGAGAGAGAGAGAGAGAGAGAGAGAGAGAGAGAGAGAGAGAGAGAGAGAGAGAGAGAGAGAGAACGAACATAAATCTATTCCAAACATACAGATAGTGGTAGGATAGGCCGAGCATTAGGACACTGAACCCAGTCCAGAGTGTACATAGTTAGGAAAGCCTCAACAGATAATTCCTCCAAGAATATTTGAGGCACAGGGGACAGGGAGGTGAGATAGGGACTGGCCCTCTACCAGCCACAGAAAAGGCCAGAGTTGCTGGCATCAGGTTCAGCATGCATTTACCAGAGCACCCACTGTGTATGAGACCCTGCACTGAACCTCCTCAATTACAGATTAAGGTATGGGAGGCTCAGGTAAGAAGCTCCCTGCCCTAGGTCACACAAGTCAGTGACAGCCAGGAGTGACAGCAGCATCAACCAACCAGTGCCTGCCTCCTCTCTTTAACCACTGAGAGTGCCTCTTGAATTTTCTTTCCCAGCCCTGCAGCTTCCTGGTTCTCAGATTCCCAGCTCTGCTCCAGAAAGAATCATCCCTTTAATAACTATAGCAGCTGTGCCCAGAATAACACTCACACCCTAAGCCATCTTAGCCCAGCCCCTCCTTGAGCAAACCCTCGGCAGGGATGGGGCTTCAGGTCTCGCCTGTAGGCCCATCCATTTGGAAAGTCAGAAACTCTCCTCTGTCCCCTTCTCCTAACTCTAAATAGAGAAAGAGGACAGCACAATCTCTGCAGTTTCCAGTACTGCCCAGGTCACATCTCTCTTAGCTGACAAGCCTGGGGGTTGGGGAGATAATGAGGGCCAGTAGAATAAAACTTCACCTCACGGTCTACCATAACCAACCAGCCAGTGACTCACACTTCTATGGTCAAAACAGCCTGGAAGCTTTGATTTTACGAGGTTCCAAGGCAGAGTGAGGACAGAGGAGATCAGTGCCACCAAAGAGGACCCAGAGGTTCAGGAGTGAGGAGACCTAAGAACCCTGTCAAACTGAGGTAGTGCTGAGTCCAAGATAGGGTCCCCAGCAGAAGGGTGGGCCGTAGGGTTGTGTGCGTAGGTTGAAAGGCCTCCATCTGTAACCTCACTCTAATTTGCTGTGTGATCTCAAGCAAGCTACTTCCCCTCTCTGGGCCTCAGTTTCCCCTACCATGAAACAGAGTCTCAGGCCTCATTTGGAACCTGGGTGTGACATCAACTAAGGCTCTGCACACATGGCAGGGATTAGGAGGATGTTATTATGTTAGTCCCTGGAGGGAGGAGGAGCTTGGAGGCAGAGGGGATTCCGCCACCATCTGGTGCAGCCCCAAAGACCTGGAGTCTGAAGGCGCCTTGATCCCCTCAACCTAGACCGAACTAGCTGTCGGACACACTCTGGTCTCAAGAAGAAAACAGGGAAGCAAAAGCCTGACCCCAACCCCTAGATGAGCCCAGAAATCTGTTGACGTCCCTCGAACCGAACTTGCCGTCCAGCGTCTCTCACTCTTGGCTCAGCCTGACACAGGGCCCACCAGGTCACAGGAGGACAAGTGACCCAAGTTTGAGGGGCGGTGCTGGCCTTGGTGACGTCTCAATGTCATATGCAAATAGGACTACGTAATGATCAACCGGCGAGCGGCAACCAATCGGGAACCGTGAACACAGTCCTAGCGGTCGGCGGCGAAGACAGACAAAGGCCCTGACACTGGGGGCGCAGGGCGTGTCCTGGACCCCCCTCCCGAACGCCCCCCGGAAACTGGTCGGGACTCACTGCAAGCGGAGCGGTGCAGCGGGCGGAGCAGTACGGCGAGAGGGGGTGGCGCTGAGGTAGTTGTGCGCAGGGCGTCCCCGGGCGGCCAGCTGCTCACAGGCCCGGCTGCATCGCTGGGGCCGGGCGGGGAGGTGGCCGGATGCTTGGAGCTGCTGCGCTCGCCCCCGGGGGTTGGAGTCTGTGCAGCCGCAGCGGCTGAGCTCACAGCACAAATTGGAACGTTCAAACAGCTGATTGTGACGTCACAAAGGGGCCAGCCCGCCGCGCGTCACGGCCGGGAGAGCGACGGCCAATCCCGGGCCGCGGGTTCTCCCAACCCCCACCCCCTCCACGGTCCACCGGCTGGTGTTCTCAGAGCCTGGGGACGCTGCCGCGAGAATCAGCGACTACCAGCTTGGAAACTCCACCCGAGCCACCCACAAGCCTCCCCACGGAGGCGATTCCCACTCCTTCCTGCGAGACCCCTTCTTGCGCTCTATTCTACCGACTCCCGCACCTCTCGTACTGTACCCCCATATCTAAGTCCCCATCTGTATGCACCTTTTACTCTGCACCTTTGTTCTCCACATTTTCCATCGCCTTTTTTTCTGATGCGACTCCATCCCTGTAACATTTTCGATTTTCTCACCCCATTTTCCCTCAGCTTGCAAGGAAGAGTAGAATATGCCCCATTCCTAGTTCCGGGGAGCACCTGCAGATGTGGGGGAGTTGATGAGGCTGACGGGAAATTTTTGCCAAGAGTAGGACTGGAAGAGGAATTGTTATGGGCTGAATAAACATTGACCTAGAGACCGGTTCGCCTTGCCCTGGAACATTTTACACGACTTAATTTCATTCACTTTGCTACTGGAACTGGACAGAAGTGACAGGACAGGAATTATTAGTCCCATTTGTAAATTGAGCCTCCCAAATCAGCAAGTGAATTCATATTCACTAATTCATCTTTAAAACATCTCTTGAGCGCCAACTGCTTGCACTGTCAAACCACTTCTGACTTTTATTGAATACTTACTGTGTGCCAGGTACTGTGCTGTGGTTATTCGATCTTCATAAAACCACCACAAGGCGGGTATTATCCTTATTTTACAGTTGAGGAAGCGGACTGGGAGAGCCTAAGAAACTTTTCAAGGTAATGGGCTATGTTCAATGGCACAGCCAGGAGCTAAGTCAAGGCTCTGGCCTCTGACTCTGTCCACATTACCTATATCAGAGACACTCTAGGAGAGCAAGTTCTCCCCAAACTGTGTAAAGTGGAATAAGTCGTGTTACATAATACCCAGAAGCTTTTGGAGGATGAGGAAATTGGCATTTGTATTTTCCCAAACTGCTTCTGAACCTCTGCTGGTCACAGAGCTGCTTCCTGCTAACCTCATACCATCTCTTGGCCTTCCTGACAAACTAATACTAAATACACCACTTGCTTGCCCTAAAACCTTATGTGGCTTTGCCAAGCACCTCACCCCTAACGGCATCCATAACCCCCTATGATCCAGACCATTCTCTCCAACTTTGTCTCCTTTTCTCTAGCACCTTGTGCTAAGGTCAGATTTCTTATTTATTCAACACTATCAATTCCACAGTTTTTATGTAAGTTCTTTGTCCTGCTTAGCATGGGGGAAACCTCTAGGCCTTTCTGAAATCCAGATCTGTCTTTGAGATTCTAATTGCCCCATCTTGTAGGTAGACTTCCTTGTCTTACCCATGTGTCAATGACATTAATTAATTAATTAATTAATCAATTAATATTTTGGTACAGCTCGGACTCATAGTGATCCTCCTGTCTCAGTCTCCCCAGTGCTGGGATTATAGGTGTAGGCCACCAAGCCCAATTTCGGTGACCAGCTGGGACTGACACAGCATGTTGGACCGGGGATTGAACCCAGGATCCTTGCGCTTGCCATGCAGGCGTTTAGACCACTGAGCTATCTCCCCAGCTCTCAATGACAACTTTGATAAGCAGGATTTTTTTCAACAAAAAGTAAGCAGATAGTTTTCATGAGCCTATAGATCCAGCTACTCATAAGGCAGAGGCAGGAAGATCACTTGAACCCAGGAGTTCAAGGCCAACCTGGGCAGTCTAGCAAGATTCCACTTCTTAATAAAATAAACAGATGATGATGACTGTGTATGTGCCTTTCTCAGTAAAAGATTGGCATTCCCTGGACAGGAATATATATATATATATATATATATATATATATATATCTTTGTATATATACTCCTTCACTCTGCCTGTGGTTGTTCTAGCACAGAGATTATACTCAAAGGCTCTGTAGTCAGAGTTGAAGCTCAAGACAGGTGGCTAACATAAAAGTCTACACCTGAAAACTACCCTGGTACAGGGTACAGTTCCAGTTCCCCAAGCCCAGAGAAGAAGGCTCTTGGCATATCCTCTGGTACCCTGCATGACCTTAAATGACCTGGATTCTGTTCCCAACAGTAGCTTAACTGTCCAGCTGTCCAGGTAGCTAAGCCAGATTCCAGCCTTCCATTTCTCTGCACAACAGGAAAACCCATAGGAAGAGGGATCTGGAACCGAGAGAAATCCTCTCCTGAGACCCTGCACCATCCCACCTCTCTCCAACAGAGATTTATTATCAAGGCTGGGGGCCCTCAACTTATGCAAACCCTTCACTTATAGATGGGGAAGCTAAGGTTCAGGGAAGTTAAAAATTGTTTAGACTCATACTGCAGCAGAGGATCTACTGAGTGGGCCCCTGGGAGTGAGTGTAGAATTCTGGGATCCTAGCCTAGGCTTGGAGCCCCTGAAAAGAGCCAGTGAGCATCATGCTGGAGTAACCCTGGAGTTTCATTTCCAATCAGACATAAGGTCCCATTCCTTTGTACCATGAAGAGATCTATGCGTTAATATACACACTGTGCACATGCACACACCCCCATGGAGTTTACAGTTGCGTAGGCATATCCGTCTAACCCATGCCCAGATATGAGCACTTGCCCAATTTTATTGACTCCAGGACTGGAGGCCAAGAGATAACCCTTTTTACTCCTGCCTAGGTCTTGAGCTTGCACTCACCATTTTCTGGAGATTCTTCATTGGCTTGGGGGCCTCTCACTTCAAAGGGCAGAGATGTGTCAGCCTGGGTGTGTTCCTCATAAACCTTTTGTGTACTTGTGGGCATGAATCAGTCTGTGCACCTGACTAGAGAACTTGTTCATCACTGTCTACACTATAGTTGCCCGATCCTTAATGTGGAAATTAACCTGGGAGGGAGGGGGCCATGTACCTGTAATCCCAGCATTCTGGAAGCTGAGGCAGAAGGATCACCACAAGTGTGAAGCCAGCCTGAACTACAGAGCGAGACAACTTTTTTTTTTTTTTTTTTTTGGTCTCAGAAGAAAAAGTAAAGCCCAGATAAAACCTTCTGATTTAGATAATATATTTCCATTTTTCTAGTGGCAAGACTGAGGCACAGTGCTTCTTTTTTTCTTCTCTCTCTCTCATTTTTCTTTTTTTTTTTTTTTTCAGATGACATCTCACTGTGTTGCCAGGGTGACCTGGGGCTCAAATGATCCTCCTCCCTCAGCCTCCTAAGTAGCTAGAACTGTACAGGTTCACACAACCATACATGGCAGGAGGGTAAAACTTAATTGGTAAATTGAGCCAAGACAGACACAATCCCCGAATTTCCCTATACCTTAATAAGGGACCATATCACAAAAACCTCAAGTCAGGCATGGTGGTGGACACCTGTAATCCCAACACTGAGGGAGGCTGAGGCAGGAGGTTTGCAAGTTTGAGTTCAATCTGTGTAATTTAGCAAGTTGGTAAGATGCTGACTCATGATAAAAAATTTAGAAAGCATTAAAGATGTAGCTTAGGGTGCAGCCTCTGGGTTCAACCTGCAGAGCCAGGAGAAAAACAAAACAAACACCCTTGAGCCCACTCCTGGGCTCAAAGGATCTTTCCACCCTCCACCTCCTGAATAACTGGGACTACCAGTGGTGGCAAACCCATGGCACGCATGCCACAGTGGGTTGTTATCAATGAGAATCCTAAAACATTTGCCATCACTGGACTAGCAACACAGCATGGCATGGTGAGAAAATCCCTATTTCAATCCTGCTCCTAGACTGTCTGCCTGACCCTAGATAAGTCACTTCCTTTCAATAAGCCTTAGTTTCCCCATCTGTCAAATGGCTAGTAGGTTTGTGTAAACTGTGTTCCATGCTCAGTCAGGGAGGAAGTGATGGTCAGAACAGGATTCATTTCACCCAAAACAGAAGTTTTATTCATCTACCTGGAGTATTAGGGTGGGGTGGTGACTTTGGGGTTCTGGAGGAGTGTTTATGAGTGTGGGCGCGAGCTGCTTAGGTGTGCAACTTCAAATTTTAAAGGAGAAATGGTTGTATCCCTTTCTATCCAAAGGTGGTTAGAAGAGACAGGTTTGGGGCCATATAAGCACAGAATGGGGGAGCAGGTGTCTGTGTTTTGTCTTTGGGCCTTGGTGAGGCAGCAACAGATTCTGCACCGCCAGATTCTGCACGCCCTGCTGGGCCTTGGCTTGGAAACTGGGTCCCTAGCAGGCTTCGAGCCTGGAGAAGAGAGGGCGAACAGGAGGTTCCCTTCTGTTCCAGAGAACCACCCACTCTTCTGGCAGCAAATAAACTCCCTGAAACTCAGGCCACTCCCTCTTCTGCTCACTGCTTTTGCGGACTCCCTACAACCTCCAGGATGAAATTCACAGGGCTGTGATGCTCTGGGCTGCTCCAGCGTCCTCCACCTTAAAATCATTACCTGAGCCAGAGAGTTTGCAGTGGTGAAAAGCTGATACACACGTGCTAAAAGATTTGAGGGTCTGTTTCTGTTTTGTTTTGTTCTTTGCGTGAGAAGCTGCGTGTGGTGTGGGGGACTACATGCCTATTATTCCAGCACTCAGAGAGGCTGAGACAGAAGAATCACAGGTTTGAGTTTAGCCTGGGAAACTTAGAAATTTACTTAGACCCTGTCCCAAAATAAAAAATAAAAAAGGGCTGGGGCTGTAGCTTAAGAGAAGGCTCTGGGTTTCTCCAAAGGAGAGAGGAGAAAGAAGGAAAGGAAGAGGAAGAAGGAGAAGGGTGGGGGGAGAAAGGGGAAGGAAGAAAAGGAGGAGGAGGAGAAGCAATTTAAGGGCCAGACGCAGATGGGTGGTAGAGCATCTGCCCAGTAGGTGTGACGCCCTAGGTACCATTCTCAACACCTCAAAAGTAAAGGTCAGATATGG